CAACTGGCTTGTGATGCTTCACCTGTAGGAATTGGAGCGGTACTGTCCCATGTCATGACAAACGGCACAGAGCGCCCGATAGCGTTTGCATCGAGATCCCTGTCGAAGGCGGAGCGCAACTACGCACAGATAGATAAAGAAGCACTGGCTACAGTGTGGGGAGTCAAAAAATTCCACAATTACCTTTTCGGTAGGAACTTTACCTTACTGACTGATCATGAGCCTCTCATTTCAATCTTTCATCCCAGCAAAAGCCTTCCTGTTGTCACTGCTGCTAGATTACAACGCTACGCTTTGTTCTTGGCGGGTTTTGACTATACAATTAGATACAAGAACACTAAGTTACACGGGAATGCGGATGGTTTGTCTCGATTACCCTTGCATAGTGAGACAACAGAAGAAGAGCCAGATCCAGTGGGCCTCCTCTATGCCACGCAGTTTGAGCCTTTGCCAGTCACAGCAGAACAGGTCAAACGAGAAACACAGAGAGATCCTCTATTGGTGAAGGTCCATGAGTTGGTTATGAAAGGATGGTCCACTCCACAAGATGAAGCGATTAAACCGTTTTACCAGCGGAAAGAAGAACTGACAGTTCACTGTGGTGTCCTAATGCTTGGACACAGAGCAGTCATTCCTGCAAAGTTGCGTAATCAAGTGTTAACCGAACTTCACGAAGGTCACCTCGGTATTGTTAAAATGAAGTCTCTGGCGCGAAGTTACATCTGGTGGCCCCAAATTGATAAGGACATTGAGCACCTAGCCAAGAGCTACCCTGGTTGTCAACTTCAACAGAATGAAGCCGGCAAAGTACCACTACACCCTTGGGAATGGCCAACCACACCTTGGCAGAGAATCCATTTAGATTTTGCTGGGCCGTTCCTAGGACGAATGTTCCTTATCATTGTAGTAGATGCACACTCGAAGTGGCCTGAAGTGGAAATAATGCCATCCACCACATCGACCCAGACCATCGACCGACTCCGAACTATTTTTGCCCGATATGGAGTGCCAGCACAGGTGGTGACCGACAATGGGCCACAATTTACATCCGCAGAGTTCCAACTATTTTTGAAGACTAATGGTATCAAGCATATTACCACGGCCCCATTCCACCCTGCAACCAACAGTCAAGCGGAACGTTTTGTTCAGAGTTTCAAACATGCTATGAAATGCGAGAAACAAAGTGCATCCCAGCTGAAAACCAATATGGCAAAGTTCCTTTTGGCTTACCGGAATACCCCGCATTCGACGACTGGAGAATCACCGTCCGTGTTGTTTTTGGGCAGACCGTTACGGACTCGCCTCGATTTGGTGAAACCTGATTTACAAAGGAAAGTGATGAACAGGCAAATCGATCAAGCGGGGAGGAAAGGACATTCCCCCACACGTCAGTTATCCATTGATCAGACTGTCATGGCACGTAACTACAGTGGGAAAGACAAGTGGCTACCAGGCATAGTTCGAGCTCAAACGGGACCCCTTTCGTACGAGATAAAAGTTGGTCCAAATCGAATTTGGCGACGTCACATCGACCAGCTTCGAGCCTCGAGTGTGAAAGTAAATGACCAGAGTGATGATACGGCTGATCCTCATCCAGAGCTCGGAGAGACTGGCCAGAATATTGCACCAGCAGAAGAAATTGTCGCAGAGCCAGATATCGAACTAGCCACGAATCCACCAGTAGTGCAACAACAAGAAGCCGGTAGGGCTACAACAGGATCTGAACAACGCTACCCAACTAGATCACACCAACCACCCGAGAAGTGGGGTCTTAACTGTTTGATCCGAAAACTGTTTAAGAAAATTACATAGAGAACTGCTTTATTACTTACTGTTATGGTTAGCATAATTGTTCGAACACGATAGTGAACTCATGAACAATATTTTATGATACATTCCTTAAGAGGAGAGGTGGTGTTAGATATATAGATATAGACGGACAGCGGTCATACGCACGGACATGCGCATTAGATATGTAGATCGGCCATGCTTATGTTTTTTTCATATTTTGTTAAAAGTATAATCTAAATACACGACAGAAATCTATAGAACATATATTACGCGCCAAACATATCTTGCATAGTTGATAGTTATTCAATAATACATTAAAGATTCAATCAAAGGTTTTCCTAGGAGTTTATATAAATATCCCTTAAAGCCTGGGACAAACTGGGAAATATTGTTGCGCAAAGATATTTGTCATATTCAGGGACGCCGGAACGATAAAAAGGCAAAGGGGGGAGCTAGGGGGGGGGGCAAACGCACACTAAAGGGCACCTCGATCTATGGACACCAGTGAAGATATAAACCTACAATTATGTGTTGACTTGCCAATGAAAGCAAACGCACTTAAGGGGGGGGTACACATGGAATCATTTGAAAAAATAGATTTTCATTTTTTGAGCTAAATAGTTACTATGGCATGTAATTGATGTTGTGAAAGTATTTATTTGGTTGAATTTAAAAAATTGTTCTCTCAGGAGCCGTTTTTAACCACTTCACTATAATTTTCAGCTTGGTTGCCATGGTAACGAAAGGCAGAATCCTTCATATTTTTCATGTTTTTACCAATATACTGCTGTCCCTCCCCTCCCTAATATGAAATAATGATACAGGCTCATCTCTAGATGATTTTGCAGCGGATTTACGTGGCGATTATGCGCATTGATGCGTTTTTTGAGAACTAGTGATTCAAACAGAACAAACTCGAAAATGTGTTTCAATATTTAATAAATATTGATTACTTTTATGTATATATTTCTTAACATATGGTTAAAAATAACTAATAATGGTTCACAGAAAACATTAGAATGAAACTTTATTCACTGGGGTCAAGAAATGCGCTATAAAGACGACGATAAACTGTGTTCACATTCAGGCAATAATCGGGCATTATTTCAATGTCATGATCATTATTTCAATGTCAACAGTCATCTCAACCTCGTACCCAGGGTATTTGCTCTTGGGAAGCGAAATACCCTGGTATGGGCTGGTCACGTGACCCGCGGATTTTGCGTAAAATGGCGTATTGTTTACTAGGGTGGGGGGAGTGAGTATATATTGTGACAATTAATTAGATCGCTCTATGAATATAAACAATAACCATTGAATCTTCAAAGAAATCGTGATTATTCGTGAAAAGAACTGCAATTAAAAATTAATATTTATCGTGATGTGACTTTCTACTCTACAATCTAGTGTCGAGTTACAATTCAAGCAAATTGGATCAGATTTCAACTTATAGACTTGTCACTGAGAAAGCACGCGTGGACGGCGTGGCAATATAAAGCAGTCGCAAGAAAATGTATATATCTAGACGGAACAATGTGGTTATTCATTTATTTAGTTGTTATGAAAGTATATCTAGATACTCGAACCAAAAGAATTTATTTATTGATGAGATGTGGCATGGAATTACAACGAAATAACGAGATCTTTTGATTTCCGAAATATCGCCAAGACGCCAACTGTATCCAGATTGTTAACTATAAAAGCTTATAAAACTTCCTGCATTGGCCCTTGGCATTGCTGAAACTCAACAATCATGGTATTTGTTAAAGTCTAGCTGTCTGTTGAAAATCTACAGTATTAAAATCATACATCAAAGATAAGTCAAACGACAATATACTATATTATGTCTTTCAATGGGCACTTTATATTAGTAATAGTGTTTACAACATTTATAAATTTTATAAACAGCTTTCGTTTTGACACAAGTTTAAATTTTTTGCTTTATATATATTCTTAATAATACAAGTGAGATTTAAATATTTTTCTTTGTGGAATAGAATCCCGTTATTTTTTAATGGACAGCTTGTATCGTCTTTATCATATCCAGGATTGCTTGTAAATGCATATATCACTATGACACTATCAAATAAATATACAAATATATTTCAGAGCCTTGTTTTTTAGAGCATATTAATGACTAATGAACTAGAAATAAACAGATGATTCACAATGAAAACTTTAAAAATGTTAGTAGAAGTAGAAAACTCGAAAATTTATGTTTATTCGTATGACAGTCTGTGCGCGTCTGACACTGTAAATTTGTGATATATAGTTTTAGTATATTAGGAAAATATTATGATTAATAAAGACCAAGAAAAAGGCTAAAGCCTGACTATAATCACCGGATACTATGTACTAAATCCAAAATTTTATAATCACTGACAGACTTTCTCTGTTTGGCTAGTATCAAATGTTTACATTTGCTAATATTGGGCTCTAGTCCCAGACAATACAATACTGTTTCTTTCAATCTTATAAACAAGACGCGTAGACGTATAGTAACAAGTAATTAAATCGGTGCAAAGCATATAAACATTTACAAGAAAGGACAAATCTAATGCCGTATTTTAAAAACATTACATATGTAGAAATGATGACTGAAAAGCTCCTAATAAACGTTTGTTATAAAACCGCGCTCGAGTGTGAAGAGACGGCATTGAATAACAACACGAGAGAGCACTGTGAGTAACGATTTGCTTGGTTTCTTGACTTGACTGTTGGTAAAAATGTAAGAATGTTCTTGTAAATTCAAAGCAAAGAAAATAAACAAAAATTAGCAAGTATTTTGAACTTAATAATGTTTTTAACTGTTAAACAAAATATCTCCACAAAATATCTCCACTGGAATCATGTAATTTGATACTTTCCCCACACCCCCTCGGGCGCTAAATTTTGGACGAGGCACGTGACCAGCCCATACCAGGGTATTTCCTAAATACCCTGGGAACGAGGTTGACTATTGCTACTTTGTTTAATACCAATATTTAGACTGAATATTTACTGAATATTTAGATTAATAGATGTGCTTGGATACAACTCCATTCATTTGCCTTGCTTGTATTCAAACTCATGTCGCATCCACTAATCGCTCAGACGGGGACTATTTTGGTGCATTGCCCCAAACTGAACAGTTTCACTTGTGACCGGGATATCTTAGGCTAGATATGTTATAACAGCTGTAATACAGCTTTATTGTACTGCTACTTACTTTATTCTCGTACCTAAAGTGTACACACCCTCTGGCATATATAATAGCCCCAGTTCGATGAGTTACAATTCGTAATGCACTGTTTACTGCATTTCACCTAATGTCCTGTGCACGAGTCTTAACACATTTCTAGCTGTTATTGATACTTTGTATCATGCCAGCCATACGTACAACATGTATCCAACTACAAAAAATTACACCCAGTACAACAACATGTTTTTTTTTCTTTTTATATGAGGATGGTTTGTAGTAGTTATATAAGGTTTATCCTAGCTATAAGGACAGTTTGTCCTAATTATAAGGACAGTTTGTCTAGTTAAAATGATTGAGATGTTCAAGATATAAACCAACCTCAAAGAGATCCCAACTAGAGAGGTTATATTGTAGCAAGTTAAATGTTTTCTTTGTGCAGATGTGTATTTTGTTACACTAACTGTATTGTATACCATGGCTTGCAAACAGCTTTATTTTATCTTTCCTTAATCCAAATTCAAGCGCACACATACATGGCTGGCAGTATTTACTTAGAACTATGGTGCTATTGTGAGTATTGATAACTCGAAAAACTGCATCCGCAACACATCATGAGCTATATAAGAGTAATAAGTATTTTTCATTAATCTCTTGCCTAGGAAAATGCAGCACTTATTGAGTGTCATATAACCAATTTGCGCAATAGTTTTACCATACAAATGTTATACACATGGTGTATACCTGTACGTCATATTAGTTTACCTGCATCTGGAGACGAAGGTGGACTTATGGCCTCATTAATATCATTATCGAGACATGAGCATAAGCAACATCGCTGAATCCTACTGGTTGCTGCTTTTGAATTTGCATGCTTAGGCAAAATACTTGGTTATTATCGAGTGTGACTGAACGGGACTAAATCCTGAATAAACTGAATGTCGACACATACATGTTTAATGCGGGTCTTTCAAACTTGAAACTTATAGCTCGATCGATCGTAGCGAATAGTTATACTCGTATACGCAACTGTTTCTCCTGGCAAGATTCGAAGAGAAGATGGGTTCCCCACGCTCTTCTCAGATATAGGGGAGTTTAAGATGCCGACAACGAACAATGGGTACAGAGCATGGTTAAAAGCTTGTTTTTGCATTGCTTGAACAGAGGCAGACAAAATTTGCATATCCCAGAGCATACTTTTCACTGTAGCGACCTTGGCTACAGGGTAAAAATCACATTCTTGTGTTGTAAGACAGAATCAAGAACACAGCACGGAAACTGCAGGTTGTGATAATTCAATATTTTTAGCCGTACTTGACTGGTACTCCGACAACTTTTGCCGCATACCTGGTCTGGTACAAACTTAACAGTCAAGACGTACCTAAGACTTACTTCCGAGTCATGCGTTTTTATACCTACGTATAGTTTACTGGTCCAAAAGTAAAAAATGTATGGGCAATTTTGTACAAATGAATCTTTCATTATGGTATTTGTATAACATAATGTTATACAAATACCATAATAACATCGACATTGCAACTCAAATGCCATTGCTCATTTACAGTGGATTTACCGAGGGTGCTAACAGTCTGACCTCGGCTACATACAGTGTAGTTTTCCTCATTGGGCCTAAAAGAAACCTGTGGTTCTGGTTTCATATTGCAAACAAATTAGGGCAGGTAGGTCGGAAATAAAATTGTTTTGGAATATTTTTTTCATCGTTTTGGCAGTTTTTTGCTGGGCAATTTTCAGTGGAGTCCCGACATCAATACTAACTAGAGATGCGTAGTTCCTACGAACAAATTTAGGCAATTTGGTTCAATAATTATTGTGACAACAGACGCCATTTTGGCAAGCTGTACGAGCAGTCCGCAACCACCCGGAGAAAATAGGGTTGCACGGTCAATTATGTTGAAAAAAATAATAGGGTGGGCAGAAAAAAATAGGGTCGGTCGGGAAACTGGAACCACAGGTATTTTATTTTTAGGCCTTGGTATAGCATTGACAATTAAGCCCAGGTCACACCACACAACGATAACGATACGATAACTTGTAAACACATGATGATACAACGAAAATGATAAAATTAGCATTTGACGATAACAATTTTAAAATCGTTCACCCGAGAGATTCTTTTTCAGTAGGACGATAACGATAAAAAAATTTTGATTAAGCTAACCTAAACTAAAGATAACCTTTTGGCTTTTTTCATCCCAAAATATGTTGGATGCATGGAATTTACATGTACAGCTAAAGTTCTTCACGGTTTTGAATACTTTGGCAGGTTATTGCTAGAAGGAAAATTGTAAGTACGCGAATAGCAAATTTCCATGTACCTATGTGGTACTTGCCTAAAAACAAAGAAGTACCAGACCATAAATTTGGCATACCTCCGATACGCAAATTATCGCACCCTGTGAAACAGCTGAGGTCTAAAAATGCAGCAAGAGCAGATTTATTTCGACAAGCATGTTTTAGTTCCCATCTGTCCAGATCATTACAGCCATGTCTTGTTAAGTTCTGGTAGAGAATGAGAATCGGGAAGAGGATGAAAATCAGAAAGAATGTGACTTTTGTTTCGCCTGGACTGATTCTGCAGCTAAGAGAGTACCCCAGCCTATGCCAGACCCATACAAGCCAATCCATTACATGCCTGTGATTGTTACACCATTTTGTACTGAAAGTGGCAGCACAAGACCTGTAGATGATTGGAAACCAAGGGCAAACATTAAAAAAACAGTTTCACAAAGGCGAAATATCCTTGGAAAATCAAGAGGAAATCACAAAATTGTCGGAAACATTTTATGTGAAAAGAACATCCATTGAACACCTTACTAACCTCCAGTTGACAAAGAACATTCATGCAAATACCAGAGAAGAAGAGCAGAGACAAAGGAAAGAAAAAGAATACAATGCGTATGACTGGTTGAACTTGGTATTGGAAGGAAAACTTAATACACTGAAGGTATGTGAATTGGATAAGTACATTGATGAAAACAAGTTATGTAAGAAAGGAAAGAAAAAAGATAAACTGAGTGCAATAAACTGAGTGCATCTTGAAAGCCGGAAAGATCAGGATTGTCAGCCTCAAAATCTACTCAGTACACCATTTCATTATGGAGTGGTTTGTGTGTGGTGGCAGGTAAAGGAGCATGTGAAAGCGTGTCTGCAAGAAGCAGAGTGGAACCTTTGTGATACTGCACTTTGAATGTATAGCGATGAAGAATAAGCATCATGCTTTGGAGGCGATGAGGAGCTGAAGCTAGGGGACGGTTAAATAAGATCTCAAGTGGTTTGTGATCAGTGTGGACTGTCACATCAGACTTTCCAAAACGGAGCTCATCAAACTTGTGAAATACATGGACAATAGCCAAGAGTTTCTTTCTCTATCTGGGCATATCGCTGTTCAGTAGGTATGAGTGAACTGGAGCTGTAAGCAACAGGTTGCCAGTATCACTGCGGCACCAAGGCCATAATCTGAAGCATCAACTTGGAGTACCACCGGAGCATGTACATCAAAGTAGCGTAGGCATGGAGCTGTAGAGACTAGTTGTTTAGCCTTTCTAAATGCTTCAGAGTGTTGGTCTGCCCAGATAAATTCTTGTTTGATGTGAGTGAGGTCCCGGAGTGGACGGACTATCTCGCTGAGGTTGGGGTAAAACTTGGACAGGTAGGTGATGGTGCCCAGGAAATGGCGAGTTGCGGCCTTGTCTTCATGTTGGGGCATTTCGAGAACTGCTTTGGCAACCTCTGCACTGGGTTTGAGACCATCAGGGGTAAGTATGTGGCCCATAAATGGTGCTGTGTGCGATTTAAACATGATTTTGTCTGGGTTGAGTGCGAGGTTGTGCCAAGTTAAGAGGGTGTCCATGAAAGAACCATGCAAGTGGTGATAAACGTCAACTCACAGAATTTGCTCAAATTTGGCACATATATAGAGGATATTAAGTATCTGATCTGATAAAAGTTTGAGGTAAAAATATTGCACGGTATCGGAATTATCCACCCCCCATGATTTTGGGTCGTTTTTGGCTCCAAAAATGCCCTTTGCTAAGTAATATTTAGTACATTATAAAATTATAAAAACACACTCAAATGAAATGATATTTCGGCTGCTAAACTACAAGACACACGGCTTTCATAATATGTAATTGTTTATGCCATCCACTAGGGCTAGTTGTCATGGCAACACCAAAAATAAGAGACAGTTTTTTCCATTTTTCGTTAAATTTTTTTTTGGACCATTTTGAGAGCGAATATCTCCGTTGAACAACTTGATTGAAGTATAATTGACACACAGTTATTAAAAGCTGTCCATACACTTGGTTAAACAACAACAAAAATTTGGGGATATTTAATACATTTCTCACGGCCAAGCAACAAATATACCCTATGGTGAACATTTGCATAATGTTAAAAAAATTCATAACACAGAACAAACTGCTTAACTGTAAAGTCCGTATACAATTACTCATCAGACATGCAAATAATGTCATTAAACAACATTGAATTATCTGACAAAAGAATAATGAGCAATTTTACAAGCAGGAATAGAAGAAAAATTAAATAATATATTAATTATCGTGCACATTAACGGAACCGAGTAACAACGATATAAATATAATATTCTTTATAAATGCACTGACTGAAAAATAGATTTATAATATGAAAAACGGAAAAATAATACTGACATAGAAGACTTGTTCTGATACTTGAATCAGTGTGAGGGTAGTTTATATACTACCTAAAGTCCTAATACTACAACAGCCGTTTCGATGTATTTTGAAATATATTATATAATTGCTATATTTACATATCTTTTCCAATGCTTTCCTTTTGCTATTAAACTAATACTGATAATTGTGATTGAAATAAAGGAGAAAGGGTTATCTCAAGGCAAGCAAAATTCTTTTAAATAGCTGTCATGAACAAATCAACTGAAAAGGCCGCCATCTTGGAAAATATTTTCTCGGTCAGCGGGTTTCCTCACGATAGTTTGGTATATACTTCGTGTGACCCCTATTATTATGTATCAGGGCTGATACCTGACCCCCACCCTAACCCCGCCTCTAACCTCTAACCCCGCGTTATATAATTTAAATATATTAATTACGTGCAACATAATTGTTTTAATTCTTGATTTTTTTATTCTGTTGGTTCTATGTTTTGAAACTGCATCTTAAAGGGGCCCTACAGTCATTTTTTAGTCGAAAAGCCACCTTAAGTAATGTTTACATTTCTTGTTATTGTCGCTATTTGACATGCGCACCACGGCATGCATGCGTCTTCCGGTGTGCGGAAGTACTCATACTCATGGATACTGTATGCATGTAAGATACAGCCAAACGAATCTCCGTGGAGTCCCCTACTTAAGGTGGCTTTTCGACTAAAAAAATGACTGTAGGGCCCCTTTAATGAAAGCTTAATAACTTGGTCAAAAAATTGGGATAAGAACTTTGTATTATGTATATTCTATTTTAAACTAGTGAATGTCAAGAGCCAAAAGTAAATCATGTGATCATCCATTGCAAATACGTTGTTACAATTCCACTTCTTCTCTTACACAGTCAAGCAAAGAATATCGTCTTATCTCTTCTTCAATCATTTCGACTTCCTCGTTTTGTTCTTCTTCGTTATCATCAATTAAGATACCTTAAAAAAAGGATATTGCTGGGGTTCTGATATGACTTCCACCACCTTTGCCGCTGCCTCGCGTTAACCTTCTGCTTTTATGCATGTTTTTGGGGGTTTTTAGTTGTGCTTACAACTTTGGTCGATTCTTATTTTAGAGGTGGTGGTGGTGGGGGACATATCTGAATTTGCGCTGATATCATATAATATGTAATACTATTACATTCAATGATATGTAATTATGCATGTGTTGTTTTTAATTTGTTTGTAATATGTAAGTTTTGTTAATTTTACGCAATTCAGCCAATTCGGCTGCCATGAAAAATCTATTAAACTATTTATCTATCTACCTTTCCTTTGTAGGACACTTAGACAGGAGAAGTAGCTCTTCACTTGCTGCACTGATAACCATTCAGACCTATCAAAAACTTTCTTCTTTCCATTTCTCATACATCTTATTCGAGCTGCCACTTCCTTTGGGTGTGCCTTTATTCCACTTTTCTCC